TAAACATTCTATATTACACATGATAGACTCCTACATCAAAGGATTATATATCCTAAAAGGCCAATAGTGAGAAGGCTGAGAAAACTTTGCTAAAATGTATAAAATGGGTATATCCATTGAGTAAACCATCTAATTTCTAGGAATGTATGCTAGAGAAATATGATTAGTGAACAATGACATATGCACAACGACTTTTATTGCAATGTTTATCATAGAGACAATTTTAAAACAAATGTCCATCAAAAATGACAATGGGAAAATTAATATGGAATTAAAAATTAACATTCATATAAAATAAAATTATACTTTTTAAAATGTTAAGCTAAAATTTTAGGTGTAAACTTTAGAATATGCATTAAACAAAATAAAAGTTTCCAAAACAATATAGTATATATCTCCCCAAGCTTTAAAAATTATCAAAATCTATATAAAAATTTCAAAGTCTTGAGGGATACATGCCAAACTATTAATAGTGATTATCTCTGAAGTGTAGTGTTAGAAACTTTCATTTTCTCTAGATTGTTGCAATCATGTATTATCTCAAAAGACATAGACAATAAAATCCAATGAGGTTAATATCCAAGTTAGTTACTAATTCAATAATGAGTGGAAATAATTCATTAAGCAACAAAAGGCACAGTTAGGAGTCCTATAGGGAAGATTTGGTACATTATCAGAAACAACTGCCATACCCTCAAATCCTCAAGGATTTCCCCATTTAACCTTCTGAACCAGGATGGGCTGTCTTGTGGATGAAGGAAATGGAAAGTTTCAAGATCCCTGATTCTTCAAAAGCTATTGAAAGCATCCATCCACTCTTAGTCACATAGTACTGTTGGCCTCTGACCATTAATTAGTAATTTTATATTTGACTAGAGAAGCCTAAATATCTTAAAAGGCAAGTTGAAAAGTCACAATGGCAAATTACAACACATCAAAGCAATGTTTTTCAAACGGGAGGTTATGATCCATTAATGAGTCATCAAAGTAATTTAGTAGGTTATGATCAACTTAAAAAACAGGATAAGATATAATAGATTCGAATAGAATAGAAAACTAGGTATGGATGAAAAATTTATTTCCTTTTGTGAGATGTGGTCAACAAATGTGAGTGTTACTGCATTATACACTTAAACATATATTCTTACACAGGGTCGGGGTTAAAAGAGTCCTTATTTGATAATTTAATATTAAAGTTGTTTTTAAAGTCACATCTTTTGATATTTCAATTTAAGTCAGCATTTTCAATCTATGTATCTGAGAATTACTTTTTAATATTGGAGAATTAAACTTAATAGACTTTAGAAGTCACAAAACAAGTGAAGACAACTTTGACTATTTTATGCTAACTTAATATAAAATGAATTAGAGTTTTAATGATACAAAGTTTTATTTTAAGGAATTTAAAAATTATACCTCCTCTTAGTTCTCTTTCAATAGGAGTCCAACCCCTGGGGCTGCAGAACAGTAACAGTCTGTGGCTTGTTAGGAATCTGGCCATACAACAGTAGGTGAGTGTCGGGGAAGACAGCAAAGCTTCATCTGTATTTGCAGCCGCTCCCCAGCGCTAGCATCACCGCCTCAGCTCCACCTCAGATCATCAGGCATTAGATTCTCATAGGAGCACTGGTCCCTGGTGCCAAAAAGGTTGGGGAATGCTACTATAGAGAACCTCGTTATTTTTGCCTTAACACAACTCAGATACATTGCACTAGTTAATTAACATTTGCCATATCATATTTTGATTTTTAAAATAACAGTGCCATCTAGTGTTTATTCTGAACCTTTCATTTATCTTGAGTATATAAAACTATAATTGCATGTGGCTATCCAGTAGCTTAGTACCGACGTTCAGCTTTTTGAGGAACTGCAAAACTGTTTGCCAGAGTGGCTCTGCCATTTACACCCGCAATTTATGACTTCTAGTTTCTCCACAGCCTGGCCAAAACTTATTTTCTATCTTTTCTATTATAACCTTCCTAATGGATGTAAAATGGAATCTCATTTTGGTTTTGACTTGCATTTCCCTAATAATTAATGCTGTTGAGCATCTTCAAGTGTGCTTGCTAGCTATTTGTATATCGTCTTTGGAGAAATGTCTACTCAGATCCTTTGCTAATTTTTCACTCACACTGTTCATCTTAACAAAAGTTGCTGAGTTAAGAGTTCTCTTTATATTCTGGATAGTAGGCTTTATCAGATACATGATTTGCAAATATTTTCTCCCATCCCATAGGTTGCATTTTCACTTTGAGTGGAGAGTAGGTTTTTTCATCTAACCATCCCCATCAACACACTTTCTGAAACACCTGTTTACAGCAGCTTAAAAATACATTGGGCTATTCCTCATTTCCCTCACATAGAGACCTTGTCCTTCTTGTCTTGCTGTGTCTTCAGTGACTGACACATAGTAGGAGTTAATATCTGTTGAATAAGAAAATTCCTCTGGGGGTCTCTAAGCACTATATCATGAATCACAAATTCAAATGCTTATAGGAGACTGACAAGTGATATAAAGTAGTAAATAGAGCTATTAGGGCTCGTAATAAAAGGGAGAGTACATACCCCATCTACAAGCTAGTTTCTTTAAAAAGTCCTCATAAAGAACCTCCTTCTCATCCTGTTTTACCCCTTTACAATTTCTTCACGTCTCCTTAAAAATATGCCAGTCTTCAGTTCACTAGGGCAGCTATGTCTAAGGTATATTACCAAAAGCAATACTGGATCCCAGAATTCCTTACTCCAGCACTGAGACTGGGAGATATCCGCTAAGGGTCGAAAAACCAATTAATTATGAATTCTTTGGCGCAACAATTACAAAGAGCTCTGATCTAGAAGCTGCCCCTCACCAGTGCTAGCTACAGACCCGTGAGGTCGAGCTGACTCCGGAGGAGAGTCGAAATGTGACGCTGGCCGGCTGCAGGCAGAAAGTGAGTATATGCAAAAAGAGGCGTTCGCAAGGGGCGTCCCCAAGGAAGCGCGTGCTGCCGAACAGGCTTCCAGGTTGGGACGTGGAGGGACAGAAGAGCAGACCAGAACAAAAGTGTTCCCAGGCCAGAGTCTGCTGAGAAACCTCAACGTTCCTAATTTGCAAACGGCTACCCCGCTGGTAAAAGAAGGCAGCGTTGACCCGAGGAACCTTTTTTGACCGGGGAAACGCATACGTTGCTGCCGACCCGCCCAGAAAACTAGACGCCCGCTGGCGACCGATTGTCACCGTAGAGCTTGCGAGAAGGGCGGGGCGGACTTGCCTCTCACCGCGCTTGCGCAGAGAGCTGGTTTCCAGGGGCCTGCCGAAGGGGCCTACCAAGGGGAAACTAGCGCCCAGCGCTAGGGAGGCCCACTGCGTACGCAGGCGCACTCAGCAACCTCCGCCTGCGAGCGCCCCTTCCCGGCAAGCCTCTGGGCGGGGAATTGGGGGCGGGGTTTGGGGCGGGGTCTAGAGTGGAACTCAACGCGAAAGGAAAGACTGCTGTTTCTCACCGCTCACTGTCGTTGTTGCCACGGATTCTGACCTACGAAAGTCATGTTACCCAACACCGGGTAAGGGGATAGCGGGGCCGCGGAGAAAGACGGGTCCGCGCGGAGTGCCCGGCTAGGTGGGGCCGGTGTGGGGGGCCCGAGGGCTCGGCCTCGGAGGTGGGAGGGTTGATGAAGCTGCGAAGTGCGCTGTGGAACGCTGGCCCGCCGCGCTGGAGGCGGTGTTCCTTGAATCTGCGGTAACGCGTGAAAAGTAACCCAAAGTAGTGTGCTTTGCCGTGGCTGCCATAGAAAAACCTCTTCCACAGGTAAAGGATCTGGAGTGGGTTATCCCGTCGTCCCTAGGGCGGGCCTCATTTTGAGTTTAGCCTGTCTTGCTGGTGTACAAGTTTTAGGTGAAAGGTTACTGGAATGGTAATGAGTGCCCTCTAATTCAGAACGCTCAGTTCTGGAATAATAAAAATAATAGAGTGTTTAAAAAGTGATTTTTCAAATTAGTAGCAAATTAAACTAACAGTATGGGTATCTTTTTTGTGAGGATTTTTTTTTCACTTTAAAAAGATTTTTAATTGTAAAATACACATAATGTAAAACTTCCATCTTAACCATTTTTAAGTGTGTAGTTCAGTAGTGTTAAGTATACTCGCACTGTTGTGCAACAAATCTTTAGAACTTTTTCAACTTGCAGAACAAACTATATACATAAAACAACTCTTTTCCTCTTTTCTGCTTTTCCCAGCACCTGGCAACCACCATTCTACTTTGTTTATATTAAAGTCTTGAACTGAGTGTCCATTGTGTAATTTGCTTGAAACATGACCAAAGGACTTAAAACAGCTCAAAAGAGTGTATAAAGTGAGTTTCCTTATCTTTAACTTCCAGTCTTTCGGTTATTCTCTGGTCAAATACCCGAAGATATTCTATACTTTTATAAACACATTTCGTGTACCACTTAAACACACACACACACACACACATTTAATAATAAACTTCAGGGCTTTGCTCTTTTTACGTAATAAGTTTTGGAGCACACATTGTCAGTACATGTATATCTTCCACTTAATGGTTACATAGTATTCGATTTAACCAGCTCCCTATCATTGGGACTAGATCCATTTCTAGTTTTTTGTTACTCCATCTTTGTTGCAATGATTATCCTTGTATTCACCTATTTGAATGTATCTATATGACAAATTCCTGTAAGTAAAGTTGCTGGATCAAAGCCTACATGCAATTTAAATTTTGATAGCTAGTATTAATAGCTCTCCAAAAAGGTTGCACAGCCAAAAGGATGAATGAGATTTCCTAATCCAACATGCTGGGACACAGGAAAATATTTGATAATAAAGATATAGAGAACAAATGGAAACTCATTATAGTAAAAATTTGAATCACAAGTGAGGATGAGGATTGTTTTATATGTTTAAATAAATAGTCTTCATCGAAGAGTACTTTTGACTCCCATAGGCTATTTGGTAATATATGGGAACATTTTTGATTGCCATAGTTGAGGGGATGTTACTGGTATTTAACAGATGGAGTCCACGGATGCTGATAAACACTCTATAACACACAAGATAGCTCCCACAACAAAGAAATACATATCTCAATAGACATTTTGCAGAGATTGAGAAATCCTGGTTTAAAGCCATCTGTGTACTTTTTGCCTGGCTTTACAAAATTAGGTTTTTGGTCTCTGAAAGCTCTATTTTAAAAAAGTTATTCTATATCATATGTGTCACAGATATTTTTCTCAGTTTTTTTTCCACTGTGTTTGGACTTCAGTTAGACTATCATGCAGATGTGTGCATTTATTGAGTCAAAGTTATCAATCTTTTAAGGCTTTTATATTTTTGTGCACACCTATAAGGCCATCTTAACTCAAGATTTTTTTTAAATTGGTGAGATCTAGTATTTTAATGTTTTTTTTTTTCTTTTTGCACTCAGATATTTCGTCCACCTGAGATAAAATACTATTTTGCATACTATTTTGGCATAGGAAGTAAGTTAGGAAGCCCACTTCATTTTGGTTCAGGTGCCTGGCTGTCTGGTTGTCCCAGCATCACTGACTAGTTACCTTTCCCTTTTTGTTGGAAATTTCACCTTTATTTTATACTGAATTCTCATGTGCACAGGGGTCTGTTTCTTAATTTTTTTTATTCTGTTACTTTGGTTTGTCCTTTCATGTACCAGTAGCAAACTATTTTGATTGTTCTGGCTTTATAAAATATTTTAATGTCTGAGAAGGCTAGTTCTTGCCTCGTTTGGATTCTTTTTCAGAATTTTCCTGGTTATTTCTGGATGTTTGTTATTCCAAATAGCTTGCATAGTTTTTTTTTTTTTTTTCAGTGACTTTTTTTTTTTAATATTAAAAAATTTTGTCACCTTTATTTTGAGGTACCAGAGAATTTGGGTAGATTGTAGTGAAGGTTAACATTAGCAAGTTTTAGCCATCTACCATAGTACTGAGGAATTTGGGACCTTTCTTTCTCACCTTATATACTCTGGTTCTAATGCTTTAGAGTTGGAGGAGTTCCTTAGTAGTATAGACCAGGCACTTAGTAGTACAGACACTGCCTTTGCCTTTCTTTCTGCAATGCCTGAGACTCTGATTAAGGAGGATGATGTCCTTTATCCTAGGAATCAATCAAGCTAGACTGAAGGCAAAGAGGGCTTTTTAAAGCAATAGTTGGGACATGAGATATTTATGAAACTTTGAATATATGTAGGTACCAAATGATTTTGAATTATTTTCTTCGTTGTAATAATGGCATTGTGAAAAAGTTAAAGATGCAAAATTGTAGATGAAATTTGTAGGTTGGAGGAGGAAGAAAGGATAGAGAGAAAGAGATGGGGCTTCCGGGGTATTGGTAATATTCTATTTTTATTAGAATTCATTTTATTTTGTTCTTTATACACTTTATATGCTTTTTGTATGTTTACTATTGTCACTAAAAATGGTTGCTACCTCTCCGTTTCTTCCTTACTTCTCTGCTCCCCTTCCTTCTTACCAAACTGGTTAATCCTTATTTTTTTAAAACCCTTCTCCCACGTTCACCGCTGATCTCTTTTGGTGTATTCCTCTAGATCTTGGCAAAAAGCTTTATGCTCTTTTGTTAACAAGCCTGCGTATCTGTAACTCCTGTCTCTGGTTACTGTCCCCTCCCTTCTTCTCTATGTCATTGTCACTTTTGCTGTCCTCTATTCTTCCTTCTTAGACATGTTTGTTAATTTGCTTTAGAAAGCAAGAACATAGGTTTCCCTCCGTTATCTGACTTTATTTTAGATGTTTTCTTCTCATCTAATAACTAAGTACAAAGTTTAAAGTTAAGGTAGATGGATTTGTAAAGGGTGGATGGGCACAGAGAACTTCCTTCAGTACATTCTGATCAGAGAATCTGTTGATCTGAGCTATTTGCCAGCCTTCTAGGTTTGTTTAACAGCTTTATTGAGATGTATTTCACACACCACATAATTCACCTATTTAAAGTGTACAGTTCATTGGCTTTTAGTAGATTCACAGAGTTGTGCAACCATCACCATAACCAATTTTTAAATTGTTTCATCATCCCCAAAATAAATCCCACGCCTCTCAGCTGTCAAGCGTCAACACCCCTGCCCTCCCAGCCCAAGCCAACCACTAATCTTTGTGTCTATATATATTTGCCTATTCTAGATATTTCACATAAATGGAATCATATGTGATTTTTTGTGATTGGCTTTTTTCACTTAGCATTATGTTTTCAAAGCTCATCTATGTTATAGAATGGATCAGTAATTCATTTTCATTGCTGTATATATTTCATTGTATGAACGTACCACATTTTATTTATCCATTCATCAGTTGATGGGCATTTATGTTGCTTCCATTTTGGCTATTATGAACAGCGATGATCATCCATTGAATAATTGCTTGCTTTTAGGTAATTTCTTTTAAGTGGTATGTATTCACTGAAGGAAATTTGAAAAATCCAGAAGAATATAAAAAATATAAAATTTATTCATAATCCCACCACTCAAAAATAAGCTTCATTAACACTTTTCCTGTGGGGGAGGGGAAATACACATTTATATAGTTTATTCCTCATTTCTTTTTAAGATTTTTCATTTGAGCAGATTTTGTTGGCCAGATCACAGCAAGACCGACCAACTGTTGTAATAATTTATAAATCATTGTGCAGCGGGAGTACAGTAGAGTTATTAGGTATCATTTGGGGAGGGAGGAGGGTTTAGAAAAAGTTTTCACAGAAGAGTAAACCTGTATGTTGTGAAAATATGCATATGTTCCTGATACTCGTAAGTAAATAAAATATCGAGGTTTCTAATAAGGTCTCATTTGTTCTGTTGTAGGAAGCTAGCAGGATGTACAGTTTTTATCACAGGTGCAAGCCGTGGCATTGGCAAAGCTATTGCATTGAAAGCAGCAAAGGATGGAGCAAATATTGTCATTGCTGCAAAGACCACTCAGGCACACCCCAGACTTCCAGGCACAATCTATACTGCTGCTGAAGAGAGTGAGTGAGTGTGACAATACCATTTCATGAAATGTTCTTACCGTAGTTTCAATACATAGAGAATTTGTTGGAGAGTTTAATTGTAGCTATTTCAAAGCTACCCTAAAATAATTTTATCTACTTAAGAAAGTATTTTGTCACCTTAAAACAGTGATTAGGAAACGTTTTTCGTCACCAGCACTTTTGAGAGGTACGCGACTCCCATTAAAAATCATATATTATGTCTCATGAGGATCTGAGCAGAGAATGGGGGAGTAGAAGTAGGAGAGAATTTGAGAGATAGATGATGTGAACACTTTGAAAAGCTTTCCATGTTACTTATTCTTTGCACTTTTCACAAGTTATTATTTTAACATTTTTAGTTCACAAATAATTATTGAGTGCTTGTATTCAAGGCATTATGCTAGAAAGGGCTTAAAAAATCACTTACACTTGGTTTTGTTAGTTATGTTAATAGCATTGTGGTTTTGTTGGTTTTGTTAGTTATGTTAATAGCATTGTGGTTATTTTAGGGAAATACATATGAAGTATTGATAGGTAAAGAGATGCCTGGGACTTGTTTTAAAATACAACATCAAGCACGCATAGGGAATGCAGTTAGCTTTTATATAATGGCTAGGTGGAGAGCCAGATGAGAGAAAGAGCAATTAAGAGGATCGTTTTATAGACTATATAAATGTCTAACCAATGTGCTGTATACTTGAAACTAATAAAATTAAAAAAAAAAAATACACCAAAAAACAAAATGGGATTGGAGGTAGATAAACAGGCAAAACATTAACAATCATTGAAGCTTCATGGTAGTTTATTATACTGTTCTTTATATTTTTATATATTTTTTGAAATTTTCCATAATGTTTATTAAAATTACCTTCCTTTTTTTACTTTTCAATATAATTTTTTATATTACCTTCCTCTTTCTGTTTTTTTTAATAGAGTTGGCCTAGCTAGTCTGAAGCTGGATGTGGGTTAGTCAATCTGTCCTACTGTAGGGTGGAATCACGAATAGCTATGACTTAGTTATTTATTTTGATTTTATGAATATAGCGTACTTATTTCTTTTGACTCTCGTATCAGAATGAAAGGTTTACTATTTGAATGCTTTAATGCTTTTTTTTGTTTACCCTTTGCAGTTGAAGCAGCTGGAGGAAAGGCCTTGCCATGTATTGTCGATGTGAGAGATGAACAGCAAATCAGTAATGCAGTGGAGAAAGCAGTTGAGAAATTTGGAGGTAGTACCATAATTCTGAAATAATTATTGATTGGTGTAACTATAATTTTAATTTAATTTTTTAAAAAATTTTCTGAGTCTTTGGTATATAAGCAGAAACGAATATTTGCTCATATAGAAATGTAGCTTAAAACCATCTTTTAAGCTACATTTTGATGTAGCTACATTAAGATGACTTTTTTTAATTTATAAAAATTATTTTGAAAAATATAACAAATCTACCATTCAATATAAAGTTAGGACCTTGACAGTAACAGACATGTAACCAAAACTAGTTCCCAGATCACATTCTCTTGCCTCTCCTCAATTAATGTAACTGTATGTTACTTATGGGGGGACTGGATAGAACATGCAGAAATAATTGTTATTCTAGATTCATTTCTTTTTTTTTTTTTTTTTTAATGTATGAGTTAACCAAAACAGATTTGATCTGTTTTGATGATTTGCCTGGAATTGAAATCCTGGGTCTTTTCTCTTTTCCTAGTTCCCAAGACCAGGAAGGAGCTCTTTCATTTCAGTAAGGGCCTTAAAGGGGAGGAAAACTAACGTGCTTGGAAGGAGGGAGGGCTTGGAAAGATGCTAGAGAAGAGTAGAAACTTTAAGGAAGTTCGGCTAAGGTTCTTGGAGATAAGAAGGAAAGACAGGAGATAAGAGAGCAGATAAGAATGGAAGCTACAAACCACTAAGGACTAAGCTTCCTGGTAGTTTCACATGGTGCTCTGGTGATTGGCTCTCTCCATTGTGCCAGTGAACATCATTTGTGTTTTGACACAGCTAGTAAGTCTTTCATTGGTATATTGGTCAGTTTAATACTTCTAAAGGAAGTATTTGTGAACCAACTTAGGGCTCAGCTGTACAGACTAAATGTGTTTATTTCCTTTTGTTATAAAGTTTAAATTACATTAATAGGAAGTTGATTATTTGAAAACAGGAATTGATATTTTGGTGAATAATGCCAGTGCTATTAGCTTGACCAACACATTGGAAACACCTACGAAGAGGGTGGATTTGATGATGAATGTCAACACCAGAGGCACCTACCTTACGTAAGTTAAAGAGTTGTGGGGGAGAACTTTGCAATTTTTTCTCAAAGGACTAGTTGTAAACAGATTTGAACCAGAATTGCAATACAGTTTAAAATCTAGTCAATCCTTATACATGTTTGAAAGTGCTCCAAGTCACCAGATAGTATTTTAAATAGTTTTATTCAGAGTTCTTTTTCTCTGTGAATCTAATAAATACTAAAGAATAGCTCATGCATTTTCAAACATTTGCTTGAAGAAATACATATATGTTTACCAAGTCTTTTGATTATCAAAGCTAGCAAGTCCTTCCTTCTTTTGAAAAATATTTGGGTTTTAGTTATATAAATAACAGGAAGCTCATTATGAGTCACATTTTAATGTAACTGACAAAAGGCTAATACTATCTTGAGTAATATTGGGAAATAGAGAATATAGAATGAAAGCAAATGTAGTCCTAATCTGTTCTGGATTGGTTAGGCAGCCTACTCCTTTGTTTATTTGTCCGTTTATCTGTTTATTTCCACTCAGATTCTTCCATTTTTCAAGTGGACATGAGGATAGATCAGCATAGACCTTGTCTTCCTTATATGGATCTGCCTTATATGTATTCATAGAATAGGTGGTTGGGATCTTGGGCTTTGGCATCAGACTCCTTTGGGTAGGATTCAAATCTTGTACCCCTCTCTTCATGACTTGCTAACTCATGACCTTGCACAAGGAACTGAACCTCTTTATAGATTCTGTTTCCTCATTTGTGAAATGGGAATGATGGAGTCATAGGATTGAGCATGAGGGTTAAATGTAAAATTTGTCATTAGTCCTGACCTTTGCCCTAGACATGTTTTATTGGCTCTGCAAAACTTGTTCCTGAAGTGTTAAAATTTTTGTTTTTATAGTTAGATACATTCAAAATTTTATTAGTTGCCTACATTAAAAAAAAAAATGAGGAAATTTACACAAAATCCTTATTTCTGGCTTTTCTTGAAACATTGGAAAATCTGGCCACATAGAGACAGCGTTCCCACATGGCAACAGCTGCTACATTTGGTAGCAGAGAGAGTATCAACTCCCTCGTTGGATGGGCCATGAGCTCCATTGTCTTCAGATGCTGAGGACAGGCTAAAAAGTTGCCATTTGTTATTGTGCCCGCACTATTGTTTTTCTTATATTAAGGAAGAAAATAAAATATTTCTCATACCCATTCTTCCATCTGAAGTGGGAAAATGAGACATATGCCAAGAGGGCCATATGTTCAAATAAAATGAGCGAGAATTAACTTCTTTGCAGTTGGAGAATATTTCTATAAATTCAATATGTAGGATATATCTCTATTGAATCAAAACCATAGTGAATACAACCATAGCAAGAACTACGAAAAACATATAGAAAAGATTATGTTGAAAAACTTAATGGACTAGAAAAAGGACTAACATTTCGATAAGATTTGTGTTTATTTTCAAATAAAATAAGCAATGCTGCTATATGATGCAGTTAAGTGTTACATGAAGAAATTATCTGGGCATCATAATCTTTTACAGCTGGTAACTTTGTGAAAGAATTTTGATTGAATTTAAACACTCATTTAAACAAGTATTTAAAAATATAAAAGTAACCAGGAATATTATTGCTCAGCATATTAAATTAAGGCTTAGAACGACACGCTGTGTGAAAAAGTTAAATCATCTGTGGCAGTTTCTATTGTAGACGATGAAACCACAGATGGAAATACTTTACCCACCTAGTTATATTTATTTAGTATCAGGAGAATTTTTATATTATTAAACATTTTTTTAGAGTGGATATCCATGACATGAACATTAGGAAATGACTTGTTAAGTACTGAGAAATATCTTAGGATATTTCATGTAGATTTACAAAATTAGTAATTTTAACGATAGGCAGTGCTACTCTGATGGTCAGTGTTAACTTTATACTTATTAAAAACTAAACTAATGTAGAAGTGTTTCACAGAGGCACAGAAATTAAGTTTGTTCATTATATTGTTCAGTAGATACCAAAAGCATATTGCTAAAAAGTTAAAAACAGACTGTGTTATGAATTATAAAACTAAAAACAACACCATGGTTTGAAACAGACATTTCAGTGATTTACTCTTACTAAATACAAATCTGATCATCTGTTATATGACAAGATTGTGTGGCCGTAGTGTATAGTTGAAGAGATTTTTTAAATTAGTTTTATGTATCTAATACATCGGTTAGACATTTAAATAGTTTATGAAAAGAGGTTTATTTTTGTTTGTTTTTTGTTTGTTTTTTTAGGTGAGGCAACCCTTTGTTGACCTCACAGATTGCAAGGACCTTGTCAGTTTACAATCCCTTATTTTTTACTCCTACATCACCTGGTCTTCCTAAGTAGTATCCCATCCAAGTACTAACCAGGCCCGACCCTGCTTAGCTTCCAAGATCAGACGGGATCGGGCTTGTTCAGGGTGACATGGCCATACACGAGTTTTTGTTTTTTAATTTGAAAGAAATCAGCTCTTTTGCCACCCAAGAGAAATTTTCCAGCTCAGTTCCCAAAGACTGGATCAGACTGGGCTTTTTTAGTTGACATTACGACACAACTGTATGATTCTCATTGCTCATTCATTGTAAAATTATGTCTTTAAAAAACCCATTTGGCAAGAACAATCTGGCCCCTTTCCTATACTGAAGTCATTTTCCAAAAATGAAACGATGGCCTAAACTTACATTCCTTCAGTTGTGGATTTGAAGGTTCCATTTAAAACAAAACAAAAACGCTGATTCCAAACCATAAGAAAAAGAACTAACTTTGTTCATTTACCTTTCTCAATAAGTATTATTTGTGTAGTTGAAGAACTACAAATGGAATATATAAGCTGTAGGGCAGTAAAAACTTTTAAAGCAAAGATTCTATTCACTGTCGAAAGTTCCTACATTTATGAACAGCTGTTTTAAAAATAAACTAAATATTGCTCTCGGTTAAATTGTAATGCCAAATGACTTGACATTGACTTTGGACCAAAGAAAAGGTGTCAGATTTTTGGCCTATAAAAGGTCTAAGTTACAAAAGAGAAATTCACAATGCAACATTTCCATTTTAATTTTTGTTTTTTACTTAGTGACACTTATTATTCATGGAAGGTAAGTATAGATTGTTTTTTCAAGGAAGCCTGAAAAGCATTCTCAGGGAGAGAGAGGGGGCAAGGCCCAAAGAACTAACCTATTTAGAGGTTTCATTTTGAGGATCTGGAGTTGTTTCCTAATCCCTGGTGCCCAGTGCCTGTGGCCTATTACTTGTGTTTTAGTGGTTTAGGGAAACAGGGTTAGAAGGCAGAGGTGAGGTGGAAAGCAGACCTTTAAATTTTATTTTTGTTTTAATTAAATATGTAATCTCTAGTATTATATACGTTTGTATCATGTTAAATGTATATAGAAATTCAGTAACAAAGTTTGATTGTATTTCTGAACAGTTGATTTTTCCTGTACCCAGCTCACTTTATTTACTGGCTCAAATTCCCTATGGACCTTTGAGCTTGCAACTCTGATTAAGTGAATTAATTCATGTAAAAGTAATAAGTGCAATGGCTAGCATACAGTAAGTTTTTAATAAACTTAACTATTTTATTAACTGAAAGTGTTAGCATCTAAGCGTGGTGCTAAGAGTTTTCAGTATAATATATAAGGTAGGGCATGTTGCTGTAGAAAAATGCACCTGATTTAGGGTTGGTAATGGAGGCCAGGCCAGCAAAGTACAGGTGGAAAGGTTTTGTCTTATAGATCAAATGAGAAGTTCATGTTTCTAATGTGAATGAAATAAGTTTTTTCCTTTGAATGTGAAATATGGTCTTATAGCCCGAAATAGATTTGGGTTGTTTCCTGTTGAAGCTTTAAGATGTAGCTTCACTGTTTTAATGGCTATCAGCAGTAATATTGTTTGCCCCTCCCCACCTCACCTCCATAAAAGTGAAGCACCTTTGGAAAAGAATAACATGTACAGAAATCCTTTACCAATATTGACTGTATTTGGTTTATAAACTTGAAAAGACATTGCAGATGGTTACAAGAATGTTGTACATTTGGTAATGTTGTACATTTGAAAGGATGGATAAGTTCAAAGCCCTAGAAGTTATTGAATGTGAAATAAAACTATAAAATTATTAAGCTGAGCTTTAATAATGTTGTAGCCTAATAATTAAAAATTTTAAATATTGGACCTGAGTGTTTTTGTACAATAAATTACCTACTTTTATGAACAGTACTTAAAAAAATAAAACTAAATATTGCTCTCAAAGGCATATTACATTACGTATTGGTGCAAATTAAATTTGGGATTATGTCACTGACCCTTGCGGGCCATAGACCCCAAATCATGGTGGTTCTGCCCAGTGTTGCTCACATCAATAGGATGAGACAGTATTCTGCAAAGCACGTCAGAAACTTCATGCCTTAGTCAAGGAATGGAGAAGGATAATCAAATGCCTGATGATTCCTTCTCCCCAGTTCTGGGGAATTAGTAAAGTATTAAAGGGTCTGATAGGGAAGTAGGTGAGTTCAGGGGTAGGGGATTCCCGAAGAAGGGTAGAGTTCTTGGATTTCCAAGGGAGCATGCACAGTTCCTAAACATGCTTGGGACATACCTAGCCATGCATTACGTGTCTCATTTTATGTTAAATCTCCATCATTTGGGTGTGATTTTTTAGTATGCTCATAGAGAAAAGTTATTCAAAGTGTCGCTTAGGAAGGGGTCTCAAGTGCCATCTTGGATTTTTCAGGTGCTAATTGGTTTCTTGGTGGTGGTAGGCTTAGCAGGCCCTGGATTTTCTGCCTTGACAAGTTCAGCCAGCTTTTGTCAGGTGATATGTTAGGGAGAGAATACCAGAAAGTCAGAAGTTTGAAGATTAACTAATGATGTAGTGGCACAACCCCATGACAAATGTATTGGAAGTTATGTTATTAAATTACAATCCCAGCATAGTAGGAATACCATACCTACTAAGGTGAAACGAATCAGCATCTATAGTACTAATAATAGCAGTTGTTTATTGCATGTTTAATATATGCACTGTTTTAAGGATCTCATATATATCATCTCATTTAATCCCTTGGTTAATCCTAGATAGTAGCAGGTATTACCAGCATTTACAAATAGGAAAACTGAGAATTAGAATGCTATATATTTTTACCAAGAGAACACAATGAAGGAACAGAAGGAGAATTTGAACCCAGGTCTGACTTGAATACCCATGTTCTTTACCGTAGTGCTGGCTTTGCTGGCTTTGCTAGCTGACAAGTATATTAATTGTCACTGAAAAGTTTGTGTGTGTGTGTGTGTGTGTGTGTGTGTGTGTGTGTGTGTGTGTGTGTGTTGGGGAGGAAAAATTTGGAAGGATGTAGTTGAGAATAATCTCAGTTGGATTTAAGGCTAACGTGCCAAGGATTTGCTTATTGTCATCAAGCAGGTCATGTCAGGCCACTAAGCAAAGCTTCAAGGGTGAAAATAAGTTGCTTTTCCTATGTTCATTCTAGAAGAATAAAAACAAAAAATTACCCTACAGGTTATTGAACAAGTTCAGCTGCTTTGTAAAAGTAGCTTAAAATATAACAAAAAGTGGGGATGTTGTTAGAAAACTATTGACTTGTGTTTTCTTTTGCTTTCAGATCTAAAGCATGCATTCCTTATTTGAAAAAGAGTAAAGTTGCTCATATCCTCAATCTCAGTCCACCACTGAACCTAAATCCACTGTGGTTCAAACAGCACTGTGGTAGGTGGTAGGGAGTACTTTGTTTGGTTAACTTGTTTTGTACTAAATCATTGTATCTATGATTTAATCACAATTTATATCCATTCAACATTAAGCTTTCTATGCAGAATCAATAGCATTTTGGAAAGTATCTTAATCTTTAATCTAATTTTAAAAATTGAAGTATAATTTACATTCAATAAAATGCAGATCTTAATGGTTTGGTTTGGTGAGTTTTGACAAATGAATACACTGTATAACCAACATCCAAATCAGAAAATGGATTTCCATCAACCCAGAAAGCTCCTTTAAGTCTCAGTGAGTATGTTTTATTGTGTGTACCTTATTCTTCAATAAAGTTGGTTAAAAAGTATCTTTGAAAAAAGAAAAAAACTATCCTCGAAATACTTGACTTTTTACAGTCAACTAATAACTTAAGGGGAGTATACTAAATAACAAAGTTTATTTATAGGTACCACCTTTAAAAAATAGTATCAGAAACTTAGCCCTTATTTCTACATAATTCACTTAAATTTGAAAAGGCAGGTGAAATAGGAACCTACAGAACAAAGTTTAAAAGAAGTTCTGTTTTAATTGACTAGGTTAAAAAGCATTTTAACATTTTGTTGATGCTTTACTAGTGCAGTTTCCCTTTAAATGATCCCTTTCATTCTTCAAAAGAAAAACCGATTAAGAAATCATAATGTAAGTTATCTCTATAATATTAAGAAAAATGAAAGTGTGTTACTGTCTCTTAATCAAATGTTAAGAAGACAGATTGGCAGTTATAAAAACAGTCATGGGGATGTAAAGTACAGCATAGGGAATATAGTCAATAATATTATAACAATTCTGCATGGTGCCAGATGGGCATTTGACTCACTGGGGCGATCATTTCGCAAGTTATGTCAAATCACTGTGTTGTATACCTGAAACTAATATTGAAAAAAAACCCCAAATATTAGGATAGCAATATATAAAACTAGTTTATCCATGATATATGTGAAACTAGTTCAGTTACTTCATGAAAACTTTTAAAAACAGTACAGTTTAAAAATTATATTTTGTATATAGTATATTATTAAAGAATTATGAAAAAATGTATCAAGGAGGAAATAATAGGAAGAAATTGGTTTTTTATATTCACAAATTAATTTGTTTCTTAATTAAATTATTATTCTTTCAGCTTATACCATTGCTAAGTATGGTATGTCTATGTGTGTGCTTGGAATGGCAGAAGAATTTAAAGGTGAAATTGCCGTCAATGCATTATGGCCTAAAACAGGTATGTGCCTTTTAAAAAATCCATATTTTGGATCCTCATTGATTGTCCTTGACAGTCTTGAGATACATCTTGGATGAGGAGGGTAGGGTAGGAGTGAGTAAACTATCAAAGGTACCTCTTTCTGTTGGGAAACAAGTTAAACTTTCTGCAGTACATATAAGGCCCTTTTCAGTCATCTTTGAGCTTTGACTTGGATGTAAGACTTACTCTTCCACTGATTGCTATACTAGAAACACTGAACACTGGAACATTTGAAGAGTTTCATTAAAGCCAACAGGAAGCCAACTGTGCTTCCCTAACCTTTTCTCCATTCTTTTCTCTGGTACCTTACTAAATTCTGCAGATTCTCATACTCTTGTTTTCTCCTTATACATCCCAGCTTCTTTACTGTCTTGTATCTTTACTAGTTTTGTCTTTTTCTACTATAAAAAGCTGACCTATCTGTACTTTCACATGAATTCTGAGTTCTCAGCATGCCTAGACCCCCGTTAGGTGACAGAAGAACCTGCATATTGCTGGACTTTGTATGTAGCTTTAGAGTTACTGTATGACAGAAGCTGAGGGCTTGGGAATATGCTGTATTAAAATGAGGAAGACCCAACAAAAATGATACAAAGGGAAAGCTCGTCCTCCATGTAGGTTCTTATTCTCCACTTATATGTCAAATAGCTTAACGGAGGAGAAAGAAAAGACAATCTTTTCATTATATGTTTTTCCACATATTTAATAGATAATCTGTGAAAACCTTAACTTTGTTCATCTTAAATCTAAATGGCACTCCTATCCCAGAAAAGTATATTTAATGATAAGGAGAATACACAATGAGAACTACTTTTTCATTTCACTTTTTAAAAATTTAACAACCTTTATTACACTAGTATTAGAACTTAAACATGCAGGTTAGTGTAGCTCCTTACCAAGGAAATGCTGTAGGGATCAATATTCCTTTCTGCTTCTGGGACAGTACCCTGCACTTGGGGGTCACTCAGGAATTTATTGAATAAATAACTTTAGATTTTTTTTGAAAGTATCTTCATGTTCTTACATTCCTTGAAACATACACATGACAATTGGAATATTTTCCACTTCTTTGAGGGGAGAGAGGGTTTCTGAGAAGGTGGCTGTTGGGAGTCATGCTCTTGCTGTCCTCCCTTTCCAACCACCAGCATACTCTCCTGAGTGGAGCAGATGGTGGGGTGGCAGTTAGGCAGGACTTGGAAGAAATGAGCAAGGCGTCGATTCTCTAAGAGAACGAAGACGCTTGTGAAGGACTCTGTTCCTCTCTGGGTCGGAGGATGGAATGGGGCAGAGTAGAGAGTACTGGAGAGAGAATAAATACTCAGAAGTTCCTAGAGAGAGCTTGAATAGTACATGGTGCTTTGGGTCTCATGAAGGAGTTCTATATAAGGCAGTTTTGCGTATAGCAAGGAACATGTGTTTTCTACCACTTATGTCAATAGGACATTTGGCAAATGCCTTATGCTCTCTGGATCTTGTTCTCATCAACTGAGAAATAAAGAGATTAGCTATCTTGCTTGTTACTTATATAATCCCATTATTCGATTTATAGTTATGAATGTATATGTTTGTTTTCTCAATAGCTATACACACTGCTGCTGTTGAAATGATGGGAGGATCTGATATCGAAAACCATTGTAGAAAAGTTGATATCATAGCAGATGCTGCGTATTCCATTTTCAAAAAGCCAAAAAGTTTTACTGGCAACTTTATTGTTGATGAAAATATCTTAAAAGAAGAAGGAATAAAAAATTTTGATGTCTATGCAATTAAACCAGGTAGTGCATATAGTTTTTTAAAGTAATGATTTGTTTTTCCACGTTTTCTACAATAAACACACATCTGTTTTGTGTATGCTTGTGTGATTATAAAATTAATATGTTCTTTTGAGAGCTATCCTCCCAATGAAGGGAAAAACCCATACCGACACACCTTAAAAGAGAAAGGAGAAATAGAAGCGAGTTGAGGGCTTTCTAAGTGACATACAAATACAGAAGGTCACATTATCTGTTAACTATTTCCAAATCGTGAAACCAAAAATGAAAATTAGTTTTAAAAGTTTGTCTTAAAGGCACTGAGTAAAGATTTTATTCAAGAATATGGTAACAGCAGTGTATTTTTCACAAAAACTTTAAGATTATGGACTCTTTCCATATTTGTCTCTTAGGTACAGCCTCTTAGAGGGTCTTAATGATAGATGGTGAAGGTGAGTGAGCAGGGTCTCTCCCGTGTACAGAGTGTATGATTTGAGAAGTTCTCAGAAGTCCCCCTTGTTCAAAATTATTCTTCCTTTCTGAAATCACAGATGATGATGGTGATAATGCATTTTACATGTATAACATATAGTATATACTAAATGATAGTATAGCTGTAAATGAAGTTACATTTATTTGTGCTAACATTTTAAATATTATTAAACATATTGAACTTCTGGGTGACAGAAACCACATTTTATTTGTACCATCCCTGTCTGTCTCTTCAGTTTGAACTAAATTGAATTAAATATCTCTTAACAGCTTTACAAAGCACTTTTACATATATTATTTAACGTCAAACAATCCTTTGAAGGAAGAAAACGGTTTAGTGATTAAGAACATGGAGTTTGGGAGAAGACAACCCAGCTTCATACTCCAGTCTAGCTGCTTTCTAACTGTGCTGTCAACCTGCTTTCTCTGAGCTTCAATCTTATTGGTAAAATTAAGGGAATGATAACTTCAACACAGGATGTTTGTAAGAACTAAATGCAACAATATGTATAATGTGTTTGGCACAGTGCCTGGCATATGTTATAATCATAATATTAAGTAGTTAATATTTATAGTAGAAAAACAGGTTCAAAGAGATTAAGCCTTTGCCTAAGAGCAGTCAGCTAATAAGTAGCAGAACCTGAAGGAGATCCAGGTCTTCTGGGTTCTGGTACACTTTAGGTTTTAAAGACACAGTGTCTTTGTGCACAAAATTTTGTAATTTTTTAATTTTTAATTTTTTATTATAATATTTACACTAGGTTTTAAAGATACAGTGTCTTTATGCACAAAATTTTTTAATTTTTTTTTATTATTTATTATTATTTATGCCTACAGCACCTGGTCTTCCTAGGTGGTCTCCCATCCAAGTCCTAACCAGGCCCGAACCTGCTTCGCTTCCAAGATCAGACATCGGGCTTGTTCAGGGTGGCATGGCCATAGACCATACAAAATTTAAAATTTTAAATTAGATGTAAATTAAAAATCCTACCAAGTGTTGAAAACGTAATATGACTAGGTACTATGATAAGTATTAGGATATAATGAAGACCAATGCATTTCTGCTGTCCAGTTTTTTTAATCTTCTGAGAAGCAGGAGCAGACAGAGATGGCAGTGGTAAATAAATCTTTAATGAGGAACCCGCTTCTCTCAGGGGTCCAGTAAGAAATGACTCTTGAGCACATAGGAGGGATGTCGGACAGAGGGTTGCATGGATAGTAGAGAAGAGGATAAAGGCTCCTGGGAGAGCAGTTATGGGCTTAATTGGTTGGATCTTGAAGATGAAATTTGCCATAGGAGGGTAACTGGGTTATGGGGAAAGTATTTTAGCTTACTGAAGAACAGGTAGTTTGACAGTTCTCATAGGCATCTTTCCATTACACCAGAATGATCATTTAAATAAAAATAGATGGAATGTTTATTAAACAACTGTTAAAATCTTAATATATTGAACTTGTTACAGTAACCTGATTATTTTGCGGTCAATTTTTCAGGCCATTCTTTGGTACCAGATATATTCTTAGATGAATACCCAGATCCAGTTACCAAGAAAACGGAATCACATGGTAAGATATAGACCATATTTTAAGTAGGAAAATAAAGATACTTACTTATGTATTTCTCCCATAATATTGACTTGGACATTTCTGCATTCTGCTTTTAAACCATATTTTAATTCAAACTAGACAAGTAATGTGAAGTTTTAGTTCTAGCAACGAAAGTTGCCTTTTTCTTCTAACGGTAAGAAGCTCCTAATATAGTTTTTTCATTGGATTAAAAAAAAAGTTGTTTAAAAAATATATCAACCCTTTGTTGAGGTTTTATTTCTTTTCTGTGGCACTGCCTTTAGGTATTTTATGTTGATGTGTTATTTTATTTTGAAGAAAAATGTGTCACATAAAGTACATCTAACACCATTCACAGAATTTGTGATATGTGACTACTTTATAAGAGAAATTAACTTCAAAGGAAATTTTGGTTTTACTTCGTTTTGTTTTTATAATTCAGAAACAATAGCTCTCTTGAACTGGTCCAGAGTTTACATGTTAGTCTTTGTGTTCTGGCATTAAACCACTAGTTTACTGAACGATGTCAGACGAAATACTCTTTAACAAATACCCATGAGAAGCTTTCTCTCATGTTTTATTAGCAAGGATAGCTGTTATTCTTCTGGGTCCTTAACCTTATTTTTTTCTTATAGACACTGAATCTCCTGAGTGATCATGTATTCTTTAGATGGCTGCTAGATAATTTAGGAACAAATTTCTTCTGTATATTTAGCAAACTTGAATCTTACTGCAGTGCATTTTAGTGCCAAACTTTCTTTCTGGCTGAATCTTATCTTTTATAGCTCTGTCTTTTCTTTGTCCAGATTTTTGGAGATAGTTTTAAAAAATTACTTAAGTAATAAAAAAGGCAACTTTTGTTTTGTAGAAAATTTGAAAAATATAGAAAGGAAAAAGTTACTCATAATCCTACCACCGAGAGGTAGCTCCTTTTAAAATTTAATTTTTTTAATTTTAAAAATTAAATCTTTCATTTGGTTGCCACATGGATGTATCAGTATAAAACAAGACTGTCAGTCTTTTTCTCAAGAGGCCTCTTACAGAATGGCAGAAATTAGTTTGGTTTAATTAGTTTATCAAAGTCTAATAGAGTCAAGTCCTCTGATAGAGGCAAGTCTAACATCCTGATTTTTGTCTAGCACTTTAAGATTAGATCTATCTTTTGGAGGAGGATACACATGAACTGAGCTCATTTAAATTCCAAATTTGATTAATAAGAGCCACTTATTGATCATACATATTTTGTTTTTCAACAAATATTTATTGGGTGCCTACTATGTGCCAAACACTGTGTTAAGTACTTTGCATGCATTGTCTCATTTAATTATTTATGCTCCTGCAGGACAGGTATTCTCCTCATTTTACATCTGAGCTCCCATGGCTGCAGATGGCAGAACCAGGACTTAATTTCATATATCTCCGATTCCAAAGCTCATACTGTTAAACCAGTAAACTTAAATTGCTTTCCTAACTCCCAAATACAAGTCCTTTAAATTAGCATATTCCCCTCCCCCAGTAATCTAATTTATTAATTTATAATGAGAAGTTGCCATCTCTTGGACTAAATGTGTAGTTGCTATGATCAGCCTATTCTCTCCCTTTGGGCATAGCTATATAGGGAACAGAATCATAATCAGCATATTGTTTCATGACCATGGAATCAGAACAAGAGAGGTGAGATAAGTAAAATGTAAGATAAATGTTTATAGGCATCAGGCTTTGATAGGAATGATTTTTGCCTATAGGATCAGAATGTCAAGTGCATTGACTGTGAACCATATATCCATCTCCTTATAAGGGATGCCCATATCCTTTTGAGGTCAGAGTACTCAGATTCTTTTGGCTAAACTTCTCTTCACCATACAGTGCTAGAGAGAGCATTTACTTCTGTAGCTCTCTTTTCCCTATTCTTCCTGGTTCAGTCCACTGTAATTCTACTCGACATTTTTTCTAGATATATTAATATATTCATATAGTCCAGTATATCTGGCCTGGATCTAACTTATATCTTTCAGGTGACTTTTTTACATTCATATCCAAATCCATGTATGTTGAATTTAGTTTGTGTCTCAGAGCTTAGTGTGTATCCCTCATTTCCAAAGGGGGTGAGGCTCACCTTTCTGTTGCACCCACTATTTAATAATCCTGTTACATTTAATTTTACCTTTTCTGGTATTTGTGCTATGTATATTTGTCTTATATAATATATTTGTAATTCTGTAATAATATATTGTAAACTATGTACATAATTTTAAATTAATGCTTATTTCTCATATTAAAAGCAATACTGTCATTTCTTCATTGATTTTTTTTTCCATTCATTGACATCTCCCCCAACCCCCAACTGCAACACAGAGGGCCCAGTTTTTTTTCTTTTATTACCTCCAGTTTATTTATTTATTTATTTTTCTTTAGGTATAGTTTTAGTGTTCTGGATTTTCCTCAGAAACACTTATTTTTTTATTTATTTTTTTTTTACGACTACAGCACCCAGTCTTCCTAGGTGGTCTCCCATCCAAGTACTAACCAGGTCTGACTCTGCTTAGCTTCCAAGATCAGACGGGATCGGGCTTGTTCAAGGTGGCATGGCCATAGACAGAAACACTTATTCTTAACTTGGCTACTTTTCTTCTTTTTCCCATAGTTATCACTATCTCTAATTATTTTCATCTTTCGTCCTGTTCTTCAGCTTTCTGGGATTCCTTTTCAGGTTTATACTTTATATTACTGATAAGATTTTCAACACTTTTATCTCTGTTCCATATTGCCTCTGTTTAATTTTGCTCTTGTAGTTTTTGTTTCTCATGTATCCCATTTCATTTTCATTTTTTTCTATTGTCTTTTCATCTCAGCCAGTTGTATATGACTTTCTGCCCTTGTTTCATATAGTTTTCATGTGGAGGAATTCTTGTGGATTGCATAGTAAATTAATTTAAGAGATAGACTTTTGCTCTTCAGAATAACCTTCTATTATCCATGTGGTACATTGTTTTTTTCATAGGCATCAGGTTATTTTTTTTCCCTGTTAATTTATCCTCATAGTAGGAGATATCTCTAGAACTAGTGTAGTTGCATGACAAGGATGTGTAGGCTGCTTTTGGTTGCACTCCCTGTCCATCTGGTGGAAATCCTTTCTCAAAGCTGTAGTTTCTATAGTGGTATCTGTTGGGCATGTAGCTAGTGCCAGTGTGAAAGGCTGACACGGCACCTTCTTTTACCTCCTATGCTTAAAAACTACTCTCTTCAGCATACCCTCCTGCCAGGGTTCTTCCCCTCCGCATCTTTATCAGTCATGTTTTTGGGTGGCGTGTACTTCCCAGGATGAACCACCACTGGGACCTCCCCTCCTGTCTGCTCCTCTGGTATTTGGGAGCTCTGAGCTTTGAAATGGGATTTGAAAGATGGGGGCTTTCTTGAAAAATTGCATTGTAGAACAAGGGGACAGATTCGAGTCTTAAGCCCAGAGTCTGATTTCAGTGGTTTAAAATGTAAGAACCTTTCTTCTTCGTATACATGAGTAGAGTCTTAGGCTGACTCTATCTACCTTAAAGTTTTACTGATCATTTCTTCCTAGATTCTGACAGTAGATTGTGTTTCAGTCTAGGTGATGTTTAGTGTTTGCTTATTTGTTTTTGCATTTTTATATTTATTTAGTGTGAAGTTAGGAGAGGCTGTATCAGGGGCTACTAGCCATGTGTCTTTGTTTTTTTGTTATTGAAATACTCTCTTTCCCAGTAAAGCTTAGATAGTTGTAGTCTACTGAGTGCAATCTTGAGTTCTACTCCACCGATTACACAGTTGATATTCTGGTCTTCATTTTTCTGACTCTGGTGTGTTCTTTTCTCATTTGGTTTTAGAATTCAGAGGGGATGACAAAAGAATGATTGATTACTACCCCTAAAACTTCAGTAGTTTGTTTAGGTCCATTTATTATAAACACTGTATAGTTTAGTAGTTTTTTTTTTAACCTAATCTGAGAGTCAGCATTTTACTTGGGGAGTATCAGCCATTTACATTTATAATCTTAATTGATGTGTTTGGCTGTTACTCCATCGGTTTGATGTATGCTTTTAGATGCCACTCAGTGTATGTAAGGTCATTTTGGTCAAACAGGTCTAATTGATAGCAAATCTATTCTAACTAATTAATTTGGTGTATGGTCTTATGGTGCCTAGGCTTTAAAGCGATTTATATCAATATTTTACAGGTGCTGTTCCAGAATTGAAAGGAGAAAAGCCGCAGACACCAGCAGAACAACGTTCTGGAGCCGTGGAAGAAACATTTAGAATTGTTAAGGACTCTCTCACTGATGACATTGTTAAAGCCACCCAAGCAGTCTTTCAGTTTGAACTCTCTGGTAAGTCTGGTCATCTGAAGCCTTTATGAAACAAAGTAGGATGTTTCAAACTCTTGGAAGAAAATCAGCCTCCAGTAGTAATCACCTGGCTAGTTGGCTATATCAGAACACTTACCCAGAAATTAGACATTTAAGTACAACAGGTAACTACGGATGTGTATTTTTAAGTTAAAATCAGTGCGTGTGATACATGTAATACAAAATTTCATTACAGTTACTTCCAGTGTTAAATAACTCCTTGGCATATGTAATTGAGGAAAAAAATCCTATTTAGAGGGGCATATGGATTATGACAGGTAGTGTAATATAATAATTTATCATCCACCATGGGCACCTTGTCATTTTTATATTTGAGATTATTCAAGTCAGTCTGAACATAGTTAGCTTTTTAAAACTTCTCAATATTTTTCTTCTCAATATAGTATTAACACATGTTAATGACAGTTTTAAGAACTAGTTACCTCAGTCCCATTGTACACAAACTCTGACATTATCAGCCTTTTATCCTTTGTCTCCTCTATTTTTTCTTAATCCATCTGCGCCATCCTGTTTTTACTTCCTTTTCTATTCATAGAATCCATCCTCCATTGCTTCAGTCACTTCCTTGACTGTGATTGAACTTCTGGACCTTTCGTGCTTATGTCACCACCTGTCAAAACCCTAGTCCTGGATGAATCAACTATCTGGCTGCCCCACAGTTGCATCCAGATTTTTAAATCTTTCTGGAAAAACGAAAAAAAAAATAATAATAACACCACCCAGTGGATCTGTGCCAGTAGAAATTTATCTCTTCCCCTCTTCAATTGGGGTCTAAGCAGCACCTCAGAATTCTGTGTTTCTGTGGTCAGCCTACTGCCTCATTTTCCACAGTGACTATTTTAAATCTCAGTGTTCCTCTTACCTTCTGTCTCTCCCTTCACCACTTCCCTGCCAGTCTCAGCAAATAAGCCCATGTCTTTCACAGAGATAATAGAAGCCTACAGATAAATTTCAGTTTCCTTTCATCCATATTAAATTAACTATAGGCATTGTCCTTTCTTCCTTCCCTCCCAGTAGAACAGAGCTCAACTCTAGATGAGTGCATCTTAGGCTTTAATGTTCATACTGATTGCCTGGGTTCATGCTAAAATGCAGAATCTGATTTAGTAGGTCAGAGGGGGTTTGAATTCTGCATTTGTCACGTGATGACAGTACTGCAATGCATGGATCCCACTTTGAGGAGCAAAGTACCGTTTCTCCTGGCCTCCTCAGGGACTTTGTGCAATTAATTATGCCCTCTCCTACCAGTTCATTCTACAGCCTCCTTCCCTATTTTAACATTCTCGGTCTATTCTGTGTTTAAAACAACAGTAATAATAACCGCCCCTTCCCCCAAATCCCCCTCTTGTCTTTCTTTTCCCTTTCAGAGCAAAACTTATTTTCATCTACAATTCACTCTGCTTTGGTATCATTTTTCTCCATTCCGTTGAATTTGTTTTCACCAAGGTCCTCAGTTGCTTCTGTGTCCCCAGTGGACGTTTGCCATTCCTACCCTGTCAGCACTCTGCAGCATTTGATGCTGTTGAGTGCTCTTTCCTTCTAGAAATGCTCCCTTTCCTTGCTTTCTTCTCTCTCTATAATCACGCCTTCTCAGTCTCCAGTGTTAGATGCTTCTCCTCTAGCCTTCTCTATCTTAGCGCTATTTATACTCTAAAGACCTTAGTGTACTCCAGCCACTCATATGACTTCAATGACCATGTGAACTCATTACTTATATATCTGTATTTCTAGCCTAGTCAGACTTCATTTGACATTCTCACTTGGCTGTCACAAAGATGCCTCACTTTGAAAATGTCCAAAACAACTCGCCAATACCTGCCTTTGGTGCTACCTGTTAAATCTGCTCTTCTTCAGTAGTCCTTTCTCAGTAAAAATCATACCAGTATTTGCCATTTCCCAAGATTAAAACTAGCAAATTATTCTATGTACCCTCCCTACATTTTCCTTTTCATATTCAATCCATTACCTTCTCTTGTCTGCTTTGACATTCCCTCTTAAATATGGCTACTTTTCTCCATTCCCACTGCCATGATCCTGATCGACACACATCTTCAAGCTCCTAAATTACCCAACACTGTCCTAACCAGTCTTCTGCATCCTTTTTATCCCTCTCCAGTATATTCTCTGTACTGCCGTTAGGGTGATATATTTAAAACACGAGTCTGTGTCATTCTCCTTCCACAGCATATCCCTTAGGATGAAGTCAGTGAATCCTTTACATGGCTCACTGTACTCTGCATCTGAGCTGCTCCACGAGCTTATCTGATGCCACTGTCCGCTCTTTTTCTACTTTCTGGTCCTACTATACTTTTTTCAGTTCCTCATCTAGCTAATTCTTACTTAACTTTTGAATCCCAGCTTCAACTGGGCTTT